CTATGTACTCAAATTCTTGAGAGTTTTTACTAGGGCATTGTGTAGTATCTATGGCCCAAAATGCCTTGAAATTGGAGGGAGTCACCTCAGAAGGTTTCCTCGTAAGCGGAATTGCTTACAATCGCATACAACCGTCCATATTCATTGTTGTTCGATAGAGCTACGGCTAATACTAAAGCTTTCATGTGATCGATCATCAGATGTTAGACTTGATGAGATCTGTGTGAGCTCAACGATTCTTTATGAAACTAACTGCTTTTCTTAACATATACGTCCTATTTCAAGCTTTGACAAAAACACATCTAAACATTTGCATATTTTCAAAAAAAAAAAGAAGTCGTCGCCAATGGGTTAAGTGGATTTTCATATAAAAAATATTATAGACAAATACTACCATTGAATATTTCTACCGGATTTCAGGGATAGTTTATGAGAGCTCTCTTAAATAAATGTGTTTTAGCCATTTTCGAACATTCCAAATAGCCCTATCTGAGTCAATGCTATCTACTCAGCAAACTCGTCAAAATAAAAATGAACTAGTTGACATAAGTAAAATTCATGAACAAATCTCAAAATTGAATTAATTTAATTTCTTCTGTATCATCATCTTGGTGCTGTTTTAAAACAAAATCAATCATCCCAATACTCAGCATTATTTAAAATCAATGACGGTGCCCTCTCAGTAAGATTTTTGAGAGAAGCATTTTCTCCTTCAAAAAAAAAAAAGTCATCACAGAGGCTCAAAGTTTCGTAGGCACGCTAAGACCTCTCAGCCCAAAATTCTGGCTTCGCTGTTGTTTAAAATATTTTCGAACGTATTTTGCACAATAGTGCTATTTAAATATTTTAATTAGTAAATATTTAACGTAGTTTTCACTTGATATTACTTTCTATTCATTATCTTTTAATCAATCAATCAGTCAGTCTTTCAGTTATTGGATTTGTACGTAATACATCGAAAATATCATAATGAAACACATAATCGAAGCAATGGACCGGTAATTTAATCATTATTCCATTTGTTTCATTGCAATATTATGGTTTTATCATTATTTTTATTGTTGAGCAACTTGATCATAAAATCATTCAAGTAATTGATTCTCCTATGAAAACTATTCTATTTATTACTACTATTGTTGCTACTTTTTATCCATTAAAAGATTGAGCAGTAGTGACACATGTTGTTCTTTTATTTTTTCTTATTGAATTTGTTTCTATTTCCATAGTAAAAATATTTATTATTCCTGCCAAAGCATTTCCCCCACTATTACATTGCTATTGTTCATGATCTTTTGGTTTCTTTCAGAGAAGCAGATGGTACTCTTGCTGCATTACTAATTACTCCTCTTATTGGTCATGGTAGTAAAAAAAAAGTGTATTATAGCTTCAAATCCATGATATTATTGCAGGCTATCTAGATGATCAACTTTCAAGACAAAAATTGAATCAAAATAATTTCATAGAAATATCTTACGAATATTCATTTTATTGTTTTAGACAAAATTTTTATTTGGTAATATGGTAAAATCTTCTATTGGTAAGTAAATATAACAATATATTCATACTTAATTAAAATTTTCAATTCTGTAGGCGTCCACAGAGATAAATGTGCATAAACTACAACTATTTGGATTAAAGTAAGTCTGTGAAAATCCTACTCATTATTGATCTATACGATGGTTAGTTTTGTCCATTTTTTGCTAAATTTTTGCATGTTCATTTAATCAATTTTAGTAGATCAATCAGAAAAGTTTGTGTTACTTGAAAATGGCAAATAGAAGTGCATTTCCGTGAAACATCGAGTGTTCTGTCAATTCTACTAAAAAATTATTTACCTTTAGCGCATTTAAAAATTTTTCTCACAAACATACATGCATTGTAATACAGTAAACATATTCCCTCACTAATCAACTGTCTAATTATGCTTATTAATATTGATAAGCTACTTTGAACTTGTTTTCTCTATGGTATTCATCCTTTTATTTAGTATATTGCTCATCTATTCATTAAAAAATGTCTAAGAACTCATATTATAATGATTTTCTGATTAGATATATAGCCTCATACCATACTGATATATGCTCATTTAAAAGAATTTTTTTATATATGAACCAGATGCTACGTGTATAAACAATATCCTCCTTTATTTAACAGACTATATTGAAAATAATTGTTGTCAATCATAGTTCCTGCACGAGATATTCTAATCCCTATGGATTTGACACACAAATATTTTGATGTAAATCGAATCTACTGATTAGTATGTCAAGGCTTCAAACTTTCTTTTCATAGTAACCTGATTGACACATTTCAAATGACATCAGTTAATTCAGAACATTTAAAAAAAAAGAACATGACAAAAACTGAAAAAAAAAATTAGGCAGTCCAGATGTCATGCCAGTATAGTTAATACTATTAGAAGAATTTTATATGTAACTTCATAAGAAAAAGAAAGCTAACGAATTTTAACAATATTCTTTAGTTAAATTTTCTCAATATGATAACGTTATGAGAGAGTTTTTTTTTATTTATTAAAAAAATGAAAAATTTGATGCGCATTAATAAAGTACTTGTGAACTTTCGTCTAGTTTTAGCGGATAAATGGTTTTTACGCATGCACTATATTTTGTTGTAAGAAAATAATCCTCACACTCATACATATATACATGCCTACATATATATATGTATGGACATAGATATGCTTTGTGTATTTCCTGAGAGATTTTGTAACATAATAAGGAAAATCTATTTGAATACTAATGAATGTTTAGTCTACATGAATATCTTATGGTATTTCTTTATATCAATATAAGAGCAACAAGTTTCCGTTAACAAAAATAATTTGACCTGGAATCGAAGTGCGCTTTTTTTTTACACCAGCATATACTTGTGTATATAAACACTGTCTGATTATTAGTACGCCTATGACTTGTATATGTTTATATACGATTATTATGTAAACATTGTATGGTAACACGTAATATTTCAAAAAAGAAAGATACAAATAGTAACTAATGACGACGAAATGTATTATGTTCCGATGCTGAAAAAAAAACAATATTATTTTTCTTGTTTAATTTAATATTCTTAACTAGATTTTGGTATCAGATAAACGGAGAATTATCTTTCTTAATACTTCTAAAGATATCTTCAATCACAAGAAAATTTACTCTATTCAAATAACTTCATGAATTGCTTATAATGACTAGTAGAATATATGTTTGTGACAATGTCATTTAAAAGAAAACGATGTGCATTTATAGATACATATAATGAGATGCGACATGTTTGATTATAACTAATCAGCAATTGCTTAAGGCTAGAAAAATAGAATACTGTGAAAATAAAAATAGATTGTGAAGAATGAATATAAAAAGAAAGAAAAAACAAACTAATAGGAAATGACTGAATAACAATGAATAAGTGAAATGCTATAATAATAGCAGTACTTGAGTATAAAAACATCAAAGTATTTTGATGAGAGCTGCATATAAATTACTATTGAAGATAGTTATTTAGAAAGTGAACATCAAGATCAATTTTATGTATTTATAATTGTCATGAAAAGTGAATGAAAGTCTTTTATTTCAACAGATAAGTAATAGAATTGGTTTTCATCTTATTTTTGTCTATTAATTCATATAATATGCCGAACATATTTAGCAGAGAAAAAAATATATCTTTATCTAAACATATACGCTGATTACATTACATAGATTAATTCAATGACATTCTTTAGAATTCTTTTTTTCAATGTTTAGTGCGTACACGTACATATTATTAATACTTTCATATTTATTATTAGAAAATTTCTCATGAACATGTGCATAGCTGTAAACACTAGAAAATAGTAAAACAAAATATAAACTTATAAACGTAATTCTTAATATTCTAATCGTTATAGACACATATAATATATTCATGTGCGCATATCTTCTCGTTTACTTTAATGAACTATTATGTTAGTATATGAAAAATGAAATGATGTCATTTCCTTTATATTAAACAGCAATAATTTCCTTTTTTAAAAAGAAGAAAAAATTAAAGTCTTTCATTTTATTTTTTAATGATCAAGAAATGTTTCTTATATCATATTTAATCAAAGTAGGAAAAACTAACATCGATACTTTATTGTGGCTAATTTATAAATAAGGTTGTTTTGTATTTTAATTACTCCAGATGACATCTTCATTTTATTCTTTTTCTCTTTGTTATTGATGGTACAAACATATATTTGTTAGCATTGTCAAAATACAAGAATTACGAAAATTGATGATGATAGACAGTGACAAATGTGTAAGGTCAATTATTTTGACATAACTATACTTAAAGAAAGAACATAATCAATAACAATATGCTTCATCAATATTGTACAAGATACTAAAAAAATTACTAGAATATAGTTTTTATTTATATTAGCAAGTGATTATGTTGACATTTTACGAATAACTCAAATTTTGCATGTCTACATTTGTCTAAGTCGGCTGTTCAAAGTATTTTAATTAAAGTCTTAATTTGGGTTGAGATATCTAACATAACTTATTAATCTTACCAGAAATCAACTGTTCGACAAACCCTTTTTTTTTCTATAGTTATATTATATCTTTAGTTTTCCGATTCTTAAATATATATTAGTAGGTGTAAATGAGAGTGTCCTTTGAGTTCTATTGTTTACCAAGTAGATGCTAAGAAACAGAAGAGAAAAGAGAAGACTTTGAGGAAAAATCACTGGGCCATTAGTCTATTCTCTTTCTTTAGAAAAAAAAAGAACTGGATAAAAGAACTAACTAGTTATTATAGGAGATGAGAAACAACGTATATTCTAAGAATGACATTGACCTATTCGAATTTAACCCTTTACTGCCGGCTATTTCAAAATTGCCGTACCCCTATACGGGAAAATGTTGCCAAATGGCAACATCCGGCCGTAAAGGGTTAAGAGATGCATACATTGGTTATGTATTCTAATCGAAGATATTGTTTTCTATTTGAGATAATTAATGATAAATAAAAGCGATACTATGTCAACATTAGTGGCTGTTGAACAATATATGTCAATATATGGTCCCTTTATTTTAACTACACTTGGAATAATTGGTAATGTACTTTCTATTTTGATATTTTTATCACCACGATATCGTCGACAATCATCTCATTTTTATCTATTATCCCTTGCTTTATCTGATCTTTGTTTTCTTATTATAAATCTTCTTGAAGATACATTGCGTAATCATAATCAAGTATATCAATCACATATAAATTTTCTTGATCGTAGTCCATCTTTTATATGTATATTTGCTCAATATGTAAGAAATGAAACACGATTATTATCATCATGGATTATTGTTTCATTTACAATTGAACGTCTTCTTGTTGTATTTCATCCATTAAAACGTGGTATTATATGTCGTCGAAAAATTGCACGTTGTGTTGTTTTCATTCTTTTCATAATAACTATGGTATGTAATATAAATGTTCCATTTCATTATGGAATAATTAATTTACCCAACGATTTACAAAATGATACAATCTGTGATATATTACCAAAATTTCGTCCAATCTATATGAGATTTGCTATAACAACCATGATCACTGTTTATTTATTACCAATGTGTATTATTGGATTTGTTAATATGCTTATTTGTTGTAGACTTTGGAGAAATAGTTTATTAATGCAAAAATCTGAGAGTACTAAAGTAAAAGAAGAAAGGTAAAATATATTTAGAAAGTTATTAATTTTTTGTTTAGTTTTAATCTTAATTGTTGATTTACACATGATGTATTTCCTTCATCTAGACGTTCATCTTATATTGCCGAAATTTTATCATGTATACATTCATCATCAAAATCACCAGCATCATCATCTTTTGTAGCACAAACACGACAATCAAGTCGTAGTTCATCACCAATTCAATATCAATCAAATGGAAAATTATTGAATAATAATAAAAGATTATTACAGGTTAGGTTTTTATTGAGAAAATCCGATTAGTAATACAGGAAAGTCCATAGATAGCTTGACAATAAAAAAAAATTGGAATATTTTCACTCTGTTTTACTCTTTGATGTCTATTTTTTTCCAGAATAAAGGAGATTTCAGAGTTTTTTTTTTCAAAAGAACTCTATGACCTTTACAAATTCATAATATGAATCTAACACTTCGAAGTTTTTTTTTTTTGTTTAAAGCCTTTTTGAAAACAAGCACGAGTAAGAATAGCCACAATTTGCCTCCCACTTTTACATCATTGTACTTAAGAAGAGTCAGATCTTTATATCGACGGGGGAAAAAGAAAAAACAATTATGCATCGCAGAAGAAAAAACACATCAAACATATTCGTCGAAGGACAGATGTGTACACACATAAATCTGTTAGAATCATTTGTAGCATTGTAAATAGTAGAGATTTATTTTTGAAAACAATGATAATACATCAAAGCAATAGTTATAAATATTGTTCTTATAGAAAAAGAATTCTAAACTATCCTCTATCATGAAAAATAAAACATTAATCTGATAGAATGGGACAGAGTGGAAATATTCAAACTTTCTATCATTAAGCTACTTAGAGGCCGGCCTATTGAGATCTTGTTAAGTATTAAAATACTATAGAAAGCTATCTCAAGCAATCCATCAACAACTCTTGACAAGGCTAACTTCTATTTTCATATTTATGTATCGATGATGAAATACACATCTTCTTTATCGTCTATTTTTGTCACAATCGAGACGTTAATAATATATTTTTGTAAGATCTATATATTGATAGATGTTGAAATGTGCACAGAAGAAGATAAATCTTATTCTATAACGTAGATATAAAGACTTGACTAAAGACAATGAAATTTATAAAGATCAAAAGAAAATCCATTTCTAAGAATTCATTTTTGAAGTTTTTACTTTTATCGGTAAACAAAAATATAGGATGATTCACCTATTTTTACTAGTTTTCTTCAATTTGCTGTATCTCTACAAGACTTTAGAAGTTCTTGATTTCTATATGATTAGATAGAGCATTGATTACTCTGTCCAACCGTATAGTTTTCTTTTGATTTATTTCATATATTGATGAAAAAATCAGAATTAGTTCAACAAAACTTTTGCACAGATCTACTTCACTTGGACTCAATCTAATTCATATGAAAATAGTTTTAATTCTAAGAGATACATCAAACTTAAAATTTCACAAAGTATTGATTAAAAATGTTTTGAATTTGAGGAGAAAATTCAATTTCACTTCGGAAGTTTGGACACTTTTGTAGCATTAGATTTTCAATACTTTTTGCACTACCTCGAATTGATCTATAAGGCCTTGTAACTAAATCAGATCAAAATTGTATCAATTAATAGAAAAGTTTTTGCTCTATCTAATTGTATCTTAATAGAGAGGATTAAAGTAGCTGGACGACTAACACAAGTACTTGACAAAACTAACTAATCGAATTTTTACTAAAAACATTTGTCAGAAATTCACTCGAATTCCAGCGAAACTGAGAAATAGATCGGGTGAATTCTCTATCTAGCTATATCAAAACAAAAGATAATCATTCGTCCAATGCGTTGTATATTGCTCAAATTACTCAAAGAAAAAAAAAATCTTTAACATTCCACCGAAAAAAAGTTTTCTTTTTTAACCTGCTTCTCAGTATTTATTCATTTTTATCATAAAACTATAATACAAATCAAAAGAAAACTATACAGATGGATGGAGTAATCAATGCTCTCTCTCTCAAATCATGTAGAACTAAAAAAAATTCTGAACTTTTACAAATATATATACGAATAGACAAAACAACAAATAGAAAAAGAAAAGGAAATGCAGGATAAATAATCGTAAATTAATATTTGATCTTTTTTTAATATGATTAACGAGAAACTTATATTTGTAAATAGGTTGATGGTTTCTTAGATATTGAAACAATTCGATCTCGATCTCGATCACCATCACATTCTTTATCGAATTACTCTGTAAATTTTCCTAGTCAATCAAATACAGTAAAAACTCAAATTCAATCACGAACACATCGTGTAACAGCAACATTATTACTTGTATCTTGTTCATTTCTCTTATTAAATAGTCCATATTGTGCAGTATGGATTGCTAATTATGTTCATGATTTTACTAATATAACATTAAAATCAGTTAAAGAAATAACAGAATTATTTATGTTAACAAATTTTTGTATTAATTTTCTTTTATATTGTGTTAGTGGAAAAATTTTTCGTAATGAACTTATTTATTTACTTCGTTGTCATTGGAAAGAATTATATGATAGAAATGAATGTGAACGTATAGTACAAAGAAAACCTCGGCAAAAACTTGAAATTCAATTAAATGACACGAAATTAAAACCACAATATTGTTCTCTTGTTCGAAATAATCAACAACACCATGCAACAACATCTTCATCAACAAACTCTAAGCACTTAGTTATACATAAATCATCACGATGAATAATAAATATTGTATCAATTTGAATTCTTTTTTCTTTTTATTATCACTTAATTATGATTATTGTACGTGTGTATGTGTGAAACTTTTTAAAAACAAAAAATTAACAATTTTGTTTTATAATTCAAATGAAAATTAATTAAACATATAAACAAGAACAAGTTAAATTTATTTAATGAACTCGACTGATGATATTCTTCTTGAATTATCAGTAGAAGATTTTTGCTTGTTTCTATTTATTTTAAGAATTATGAACTTACGTGAACAATCGACTAAATGGATTTTGCCAAATAAGATGATCATATCGAATGATACATAGAAAGTTATATTTTCATCAAGTCCTGAGGATAGAAGAAGCCATATATATCAATTAAGGAATATTATAGCAAATATGGCTAGAATGACGTAAATATTATGACTCAATATGTACTCAAATTAATCTATATAAAAGTGTCTTCAAGGTTAATTCAATAGAGATATGTTAGGTCTTTAATAATATATATCTAATAATTTCTATAATAGTTTTCTAGATAGCCAAAAAATCTTAGGATTTTTTCGTATCTTCTATAACTGTTCGTTTTGATAATGTTTTAAATTCCGTGATGTTTTTCCTCAGGATATAGGCGACCAATCGTGTAAATTTATTAAAAACTGTGTGCTACCAAGCTTTATAAATACATCAATTGATTATTCTCTAAATTGAAGTTTGTCAAAATCAAATCAGTCAATAAATACTTCAAAAAAATCCAATTATTTGATTCTTATGAAAAGAGAAGTATATCAGTTTTACGATAAATACTTTTTCGATGAAAAAGTTTCTATCTATTTATAATAAAATCCTCATGTCCTATCATTTGATATATATGAGTGTTTCGAAAGTATTCCAAAAGTTTTCCACTTGCATACCACTAGAAGAGTAAGAAAATGGACTACTACAAAGATTAGTTTTTATTTTGTTCATCACGAATTTAAATTCTGAATAGCCGAATGTGATTAGAATATGGAGCTCTATAAAACTCAATATATGTTCATTCTCTTATGAAAATTAAGAATTTTGTATGTCTTCATACTCTTTTTCAAGAGTCGGAAAATGAAAAATTTTTTGACATTTTCGAAAGATTCATTTATGTCAAATGATAAGACATGATCACCTTACTATTCATAAATACAAGCATTTTCACTTAAAAAGTACTTGTCACAAAATTGATATACTTTTCTCTTCATAAGAATTGAATAATTGATCTTTTTGAGGCATTGATTAGCCTATTGACTTTGCTGCACTTCGATTCAAAGGATAATTAATTCGTATGCTTACAAATCTTCGCAATCCATGATTTCTAAGAAATCTGCATGATTGATCGCCTTTGTCTTGAAGAAGAGTATCAAGAAATTTAAAACATCATCAAAGGTAACAGTGACAGAAGATATGAATAACTTTGAGGTTTTTGATTATTTGGAAAACTATTATAGAAATTGTTAGATATATATAAATATTATTGGAGACCAAACGCATCTCTATTGAATTAACCTTGAAGACACTTTTACATAGATTAATTTGGGTATATATTGAGTCATAATATTTTGTCATACTAATCACATTTACTATAATATCCCTTAATTGGCATATGACTTCTCCGATCATTAAAACTCGATAAAAATATAACTTTCTATAAACGTTTTGATGCATCTGAAATTGTTCTATAAAATGATATAAATGATTTTCAAATGAAGGATGATCATTTTATCCGACAGGTTTCTCTATTTACTGCAATGAAATGACATTATTAACATTTTTATTGAAATTTTCAAGATTTATTATTACATGCAACACTTTTTAGTAGATTTCTAATTTAGCTAATATGACAGGAATTTTCACTCATACAGAATGATTTTCATAATTGACAACATTAATGCAAATATGTATTAACATTTTGATTACTTCATTATGGTTCCATGATTTGATGAAAAGATTAACATCATGAAGAGGATTTTATTTTATATTTTACATATGAAGATAGAAAGTAGAATAGGTTTATTTTTTTTTTTAGAAAATGCATATTTATCGATTTTCTTCAAGAAGAATATACAGAACCTTCAACAATATTAAGTATAAAAAATGTATCGATGATGTCTTTTTCTTTCATAACGATATGGACTTTTCTTTTGACCATTCCTAGTTCTCAAAGGTGGTAGATCCGAACCATTACATATTTTTTTGCATAAAAAAAGAAAGGAAAAGTTTTCAAAAAGCTTAAAACCACTTTTGAGATATAATCTAAAGTGTCTCCAAAAATATTTTTAGAGCGATTGAACAAAGTTCGGCTAGAATCATAAGTAGACTCGATATGATCTCATTACAGTAACTGTTACTACTAACTACTATTAATAATTAATAACTGTGAATAAATAATAAAATAATGCCAATGTAGCACTCTTCGCAAGTACTTTAAATAGAATATGTCCTTGAGAAATTTTCATCCTATAATTGTTACAGTGTTAACATATATGCGATGACAATATGAAAGAAAAGATCTATATTTATATTATTTGCATTATAAATAGTTATGAGAAATCAACAAAGATAGGAAAAGTTTCTTTTCAACATATGAGTATTCGATATCATTGTTTATTTATATTTTTTCTTCTTGTTTATGTGTATTATGAATCAACTAAATTATGTCAGTCCAGTTTCAATTTATTGCTCAATAACTAATCTTTCTTTTAATAAATCGTTTGGTGTAATTATTGAAGTTACTCCAACGTTCATTGTTAAAGACGCTATTCTAAAAACTTAACTATAAACTATATAGAAAGAAATTTGCTATGTTTAACGACAGTTACTGTCACTTGTAACTAAACCTACTTCTTTTACGTCATCATATCAATCATATCTATAATATCAATAAAATTTAAATAACAACAGTAGTTTTCTTACAATTGTTCAATCTAATCTTTCTTTTAGTTACAGTATACATTACATACTAATATAAAATATTTGATTGAATTTATTTCATAAACAACTGAAAGAAATTGAAAGATTAGGATGTAAATAATGTATTATTTTTAAAAAGATACAACTTGGAAGTCAATACATGTCAAATGACTAGAGGAAAAGCATAATTAATGTACTAAATGAAATACTTTTATTTGATTAGAAAACTCTACAATGAACATGAATAAATAATTTACTGAGATCGTCAAACTATACAAATAAACAAGACTGTGTATTTTTCTATTTAATGTGACTCTTTCCTAAAGACTTAAATATAAAAGACTTGATGACATTCCATCCAGGAGTGTCCTAGGGTCGATAACTTAGGAGGTCGATTGGAAATTTTTTGTTAAATACTGGGGAAAAATAAAAATTTTTCAAGATCAGGTAGTGTCATGCATTCGGCTCTCTAGCTCGGGATACTGCCTCTATCATCATGTTTTTCTTTTCTAAAAGGCACTGTAGTCAATGTGAATGGTACTTTTCCTATGATAGATTTAAATGTATTACAAACCTTCATTATTGATCTTATGAAAACATTTTTTTTACCAAACAAATTATGCTTGAAATTCACTGCAAAACTCCAAATGATACGATATGAAAATTCTTTCAAACATGTTTGAAAACAACAAGATGTCAACATCTTTAAAAGTCTGATATGAAGCTAATGATGGATGGACGAAATTTTATTTTGATTTCAGTAATGTAGTTTCATTGAGATTGATTAATTTGTAAATTAAAAAAGAAAACAATTTGTCATGTTCTTCCGGTACTTTGCACTAATTTCAAATGACAGCTAATATTACAATGGTATAGTAACATCTACATCAGAAGAAACGGATGTTGACAAGGAAATTGATTGTTGAAACAAGAAGTGTACTGCTGATATATTATGAAAAACTCAGTTATTTCATATTCAAAACGTCAAGGAGGAGCCAAATATGCCCTCACTGAACAAAAAAAACTGGGCTAATTATGTAAAATGAATTTTAGCCAAATATTATTAGATTTTGCTCATTTTTCCTCAAATAAAAAAGAAAACATATGCAGATTATTTTCATGCATCCGTCTTAAATAATTGTTGTTCGTCGAATTTATCTGGTCTAGATCAGCTGAGTTATAGCTTATAGAACCAGCTCGATGAAACTGTGAACTGGAATCACATGGCAACATAGTCAACATTAATAAACGAATTATTATGAAGAATTTTAATAGATACCATTAGATAAAAATCTTTTTTTTTTTTAATTAAGTGAATAATAAATGAGAAATTTTAGAAATATTAACAGAATCAGTCTTTACGGATAATCCGATTTAAAATTAAGTTTAGAGAAAAATCATAATTTAGTTATTACAGATAAATCTTGTTCAAAAATTTAAAAACATGTCATGTCAGTCATCGTCGATAATAGCAGTATCATAAGTTCATTGAGAACCTTGTGCTCCAAATTATCTATCAAGTATCTAAGGTTTTTAAATGGGTGAATGCTCCGTTTTGTAAAATAACGTTGAAAACATGATCATTTTGCTGTAACGTTCTTCACAATTCTTTTTCTCTGAAAGCTAGGATCGTCAAATAGAGATTTACATAACTTTCTTCTTTATTATTATGATGAATGATGATCATTATATACAGTTTTTTTTTCAAATGGTGATGCTTTTCTACACAAAATCTCTGGGATTTATTGTGAATCTTTGTTCTTGAGCTTCAAATAATAATTTACTCAATATAAAATGCAGACTACGATATTTAATATTGCTATGTTTTACATATAGAGCTCAAACAGCGTGGTTGACTAGAACATCTTTCCTTCAACTTTTAATTAGAGTTTGCTAGTGAAATATAATCAAACTAACTTATGAAATATTATATTCCTCTCTATAATTAATAATATATGAAAATTTGGGATGAATTTTCAATCAATGATAAGTATCAATTTTGAATATATGAATAAAATTGTTAGAATTTCTGAAAGGTTTCATTATTTTCAATGAATTAATACATTTGAAAATCGTTTTAACTTCTATTATATATCGCAGTTAAAACGGTTAGTCAAACTTTCTTCAAAAACTACTTGGACTATCGCCTTTGATTATCGAAATGAGAACTCGAAACAAATATCATACAGACACTGACGGAAACTCATGGTTATTTTCATTTTAATTGTAAACCCATAAGTGTTCACAGTTTGTATGGATATCGGACAAAATGAAGTTAATATTTTTGGGTTTACAGATCTTGAGGAAATGAGTATTCTATCTAATGCACCTTATAAAGTGATCATATGTTTTGATGAATTGAGACGCAACTAAAATCTGAGTCCTATGATAACACATCGAGTAAATATTGACGCTTTATTTCAGCGATAATTTTTAGAATAAATATAATACGATCAATGCTGTAGTAATACTATTTCATTCATATAATACTTTTTATCTCGAACGTTTTGCCATATCTGAAAATCTTGTTTCATTCAAATAAATAATTGTGGAAGGAAAAAGTCTATTATATACGATGACGTGAAGAACAAATAGAATTTGACTAAACAATTTTTTGACTTCTAGACACATTTAATGTAATGCAGTAAGAAAGGTAAAAGGAACTTGCTACTTAAAGTCTAGAATCAAATCAAAGTCATACAATAAGCTAGAGGAATAATATAAAAAAGTAAAAAAATACGAAAAGATGATTATTTCTTTTTTCAAACAATAAAGATCTAAACAGTGTGGGTGATTTGACAAAAATCATGTCTATTTAATAAGAGTTTCATATAGATACAGTATAATATTTTTATTTGTATTAATCGTAAACTAATAAAACTTTTACAAAGCTATTTATAAGGTATGCTTCATGTATGATCGAATGCCATGATTAATAATTTAAAACGTTTGTGACTTATATGACAATAATAGTTATTGCTCAATGCCAACATTTTTGCATCGGCACATCAATATAATATAATGACATTGAAAAATCTATTTCGGAAAAAGCACTATTTTAAAATTTATCAATGTGCAGTGATTATTATTGTATATATTATAGTCTTGATATTAAACGTTCAGTCCTTGTTCATAAAGATGAATAAACTTTTCTAATGATTGTTTCATATAAAAATTCAGATTGTCAGATGCAAAAATTTTATCGAAAAATTTACCCAACAAACTTAATTCGTATATCAGATGTAAGATCAGACTTATTGTAAGATTCTTGATGAAATTTTTCTTACAAAATCTTATATGATTTTTCAAAAAAATTATAAAGGACAGTAAAGATAATATGATCGTGCAAGAATCATACGTCAAGGTTCAATGTAAGTTTCACAGAGATCAAGATTTTCCAGGTCAAATATTCTGACGGTAAAATCTTGTAAGATTAGACGAAAATCGCAGTGTCATAAATTCTTAAACTAAGTCGTATAAAAGGTTTTTGAATGATATCACTGTAAGGTTATAGAAAATTTTATCTGACGGTAAGATCATTCAAGAATCTTATAGTATGATGTAATGTAAAAGTTCTGAGGCTATGAACTTACAAGACCTTACGTGTGACTTTTTGACCTATGTCGATTCACAAAAATCGTAAAAGATCGTATACAATACTGTGTGATAAAAGAACATGATATAGTAAGTTTTTGTATGATCTTTTAAGAATTTTAGAGATAGATTCTCGAATTAGGATGGAGTTCAATAATTAAATTGTTTTTTAAAACATATATCACATGCATTGAATATAATAGTATTTCAAAGAATTGTTACCATTAGAGATTGTTGAACAGGCTAGACTACTCCATATATATATATATATCTATATATTTGTCTCAAAACGATTTTCGATGGAGTTAAAGAGCTAAACTAAGGCTCGTCATGAACGGTTTATATGTTACAATGTATATTTGCAATGCACTCATTGGTGATCTTCTAGTGACCCTTTTGCTTCTTCTTTACTTGTATTACTACTGAGTGTTCATGTCAGTTCTGCTTCTTTTTTTTGTCTAGTGTACCCGTTCTTACTCTTGCGACGCTAGATTTTTTTTTCATTCTTTCTAGTGGTAGTTGTTCGTTTCTTTTGCTTTGAAACGGCTTTCTCGTACCGTAGTATAATTCTTTTTTTTTTTTTTCTTTCTATCTTCTTCTTTGCTTCTTTAGACGACAACAACTCATCATTCGCGCACAACCATTCATAAAAAAAAATGTAAAAACAAGCCGTATTTTTATATTGGATTTCATTCTAATACAAGACTAACTGATACGCCGGAAACAATGAGAAACAACGATTCACAATATTACTCTAAATCATCATATAATATGTTCGATAAATTATCAAATAAAATTTCAGCAATTAAAGGTGATATAACTGAAGCTGTTAAAGAACGACGTCGTTCAATTTCTTCTGATCGTCACAACTCAATGTCTTCGAGAAATCACTTAGCAACTATGAATACAGTTGCATTTTTATTGCAAGATGATACACCATCTATAACAATGCAAACACGAGAATTATCCAAAATATCTGGTTAGTATTAATGTGTAAATTTAAGCATCTAGAAGTCGTATGTAATACGTTTTAATTTTTATCAAAAATAACTTTAGTACAATACTGACTAATGTCTTGTAAAACATTTTATAATAAAAAAAAAAAGTATAATTTTTCTTCCGTTCATATTGTAAAGAACGACAAAATATTATATAAACGCCATAAGATCTCGTTGAGATAAGCGCATGTTAAACTTGCACATGTTTATTTCTCGTATGTATACAGGAAGTATAAATGTTTTAATTGAATAAAGATAGAATCGTTTTTATGGGATAATAAATGTGATTATCTTGATTTTTCTTCATATAACGAACACTAGGAAAAAAACATCATATGTTAATAAAATAAACCAATTATTCATTACTTTGGTTATCTTAACTGAGTACATAAATGTAGGCTTCAATGAAAGACACATTGACACGGAGTATATCGAACATTATTTAATGAAGACAACTAATTATTAAATGGAATGTTGTCACATTGATTACAATATGATTTTCATTAGTAAGAAATTATCAAATTGAAGTTAATATATCGAATAATAATTTTCAAATTTGTAAGAATTTTGAAGACTTATAAGAATTTACTTGAAGAACAATGAAATATAAAAAAAAATATCAAATAATGAACGGGCGAGCCATAAAATGCATTGGACTAATGGGAAACGAAATTGTTTCCTCATTTAAATACTAAAAGATAGAGAACTTCAACATTTACGGAACTAATAATTTCTCTTTTAATAAGAGCACTTTGCTTTTGTACGACAATCCAAACATGAATATATATCGTGTTTGTTTTTTACTGCAATGTACTGTTGTTCGTGCTTTGCAAAAGTATGAAGGATCTGGAAAACACAGAATTTTATAACTTTTAAATATCTAAGCTTTGCTGGGAAAGTCTTTATTTCGATACAAAACAAAATATACAATTTCATTCTCTACAAGGTTACATCACTAGTGAATCACAGTTTGACATGCTTTTGTCAATATGAAAAACCAAGCAAACTCCAAAATGCATGTGAAGTTTTGGTTTTGCTTTCATTTATAGTGTCGTAAATTTTCAGATGATGCTGCCGTTTAAAGTTATGCAAAAGAGAAATGATTTTATTAAGACTATTTGTATTCCGTAGTAGGAATATATAGTGTACGTGAGTGTGTTGATTGTCTTGTAATTAAAAAAAGTTCTTTCTAAAAATGAAGTACGCAGTTTAGTAGAGCTTAATATTCTTCATTGTTTAATGTATATATGAATAGTAAATGAGTGGAAAATTGCATTTACAATTAAACCAATTCATTATAACTCATCCATTACTTCCCTTTCTGTTTTATATTAAAAAACTCATTCTTTTTATAGATTCAATAATACAAGTATCATAATGAAAGATCTCAATATAAAATCAATTTGCTTTTCTATAATATAGAAAAACCATGAGGCTATAAAGATACCATACCAATGTAAAAGATCTTATTTCGAGATATTTAATACACCAACTCGTTTGTCAAAAATCTTCGTACAACGTAATTAGTCAATTTTCATCTATATATAAGTCGCCAGAGAGAATCAAAAAGAATCAACTAGAATCTGAGTTTTGTGCTCTTTCTCGCTTAAAATTAGTTCATTGAGAATAAACCTTTGAAAAAGGTCAAAAATAACGCCTGTACAAAATGTTTTGTATACTTTGGTTTTGTATTTTGATAAAAGCTATCTCAATCCACACTATAAGAGAATATTTTTATATATTAGGTTGTAAAATAAGGTTAATACAAATGATTGCAATCAGTTACATTCTAAATACCGACATTTGAAGGAAGTGACTTTTTTTTAAAAAAGGTCGTTTCATGTAAAGAGTAGCTGTTCGACAAGTGCATATAGAGTTTGATTATTTTTCAATTCTAATTTATTGTAATGAATGACTTAGTAGAAAGATTAGAACGTTAAAACTATCCTCAAAACTCATTTAGATTTTAATCTAGAAAAAAATTCTTCATATATAATTAGAGAGAATGTGAAACTCTTATTCTAGTCGATTACACTTTCGATTCTCTTCAATGGTTTCTAAATAAACAAAAATTAATCAGATATGTGGTGTCAAGACTTCGTACGCTTTAGTTATAGACAGGCGAAAAAAGTAGTTAGAATAAACTGTTGCTTAAACTTGTAGGTCATTCTATATTATAAAATAACTTCTTTATTATATGTTGTCAGGTGATACAAGATCATTATCAACACTTGCATCATCATCTAGTGCAATTCATACATCACCGTCTCGACGCACCATTGATCATTTGGCTTTGAATACGGATTTTAGTGGTATGAAGTCAAATATCAGTAAATCTTCTAGTTTATCAGCTGCTCCAACGAAAAGTTCAACATCTTCACTAAGTTCTACTGGTACTACTCACTCATTAAATATAACTTCTTCACATTCTCAAAGAAAAATTGAATCAATGCAAAATATATCTACACTTATGAACAATTCAAAAGATACAGTGGGTGGTGTAAAAGAACGTCTTATTACCAAAATTGATCCTGTTGAAATGACTGTAAAACCTACTATTGTTACTGTACTGCAAGATACTGTAAAAAGATCAGCTATGCTTCTTGCTGGACCTAAATTTCGATTGAATATCAAGGAGATACAAAAAACCAAGTTACCATTAAATAGTGATACAATTTATTCAATATCAGTAAGGATAACAATTACTCATAAGCAACCACTGTTGAATTTTCGTATTTCAAAAAAAAAGAAGAAACTTAGAAGATAATTTTTTGAGTGTACTCATCAGTTAGAATTTCATTAAATATAAAAACTGCATACTTATAATACAAATTTAATGTCTAACTAATCACTTTTTCTCTTAATAGATTATCGTTGGTATTGTTTCTCTACTTATTACATTATGGAAACCAATATCATCATTTTTTTCCGGTTTTATCGTTGGTTGTCTATTTGCTATAGCTACAGTGTATACATGGCTTCGAATGATTATTGATACTAAAGTTGAAGAAACTGCCATAGAAGAATGGATTGATTTTCCTGCACTTGACTCTATGCTTACAAAAGTTGATAAAGAAAACAAGAATACATATATTCAAGTAAGTTTAAATTTTCGTTTTTGTAGAAAAGAAAAAGGATTCAGTTTTAATAGACTACTAGAACATTGCGTTAAGGTCTCTGCTCTGCAGAAAAACTCTATTTTCATCAAACATTCTTTTTTTGAGATAAACACATGAACATGTTGACTAAGTTGCCTAGTATTCGAATATATACAATAGTTTTAATTGTTGATGGTTTTTCATACGATCAGGTAATAGAATCTTGCACATCTTAGATACACATGTTTAAGATTTACAACGGCAAGAAGATGTGGACACGGATCTTCTTTTCAACTATGCTCTCGAAACAGATAATGTTTATATAAATTAAAATACCATATTTTTTATATATTACCAGTGAAAACTAAGCATTATTATCAACAATTAAAAAATTCGTAAGGAAATCAGCACATAAAAAAAATAATTTGTTATTCTTCTATCTTTATTATGTTATGAATCTGATAACAAATATAAAGACATACACTATACATTTCTCAGACAAGTTGTCTGAGAAGAGTGTAGGATATACTAGTCACAGAATACAAAAAAACCAAAAAAGTATCTTTAATTTTGGAGCAGCTATCCTATTTTAATTAGAAAATGTCACTGCAAGGGTCAAAATACGGTTCAATTGAGTCCCAGTCTAGGTCCCAAAATTTTGAATCCTCCAAACTCTACTCGTGCGAGAATAATCTAATATACATAGATAAGTGCTTCGATTGACATGTAACGAGTGGTTCATAAAATGAGTTTTTCGCTATACAGAATCGCACATTTTATTTAGAAAATATCTTCACAATCATTCAATAATATACGATAAGCATTTTTAGTCCACGAGTCAATACTGCGAGACAAATAGCATCGAGTCGAACTTTTTTTTTAATGTCAGCGCGAGTTTTATCAATTAAAGCTTTTCTATTGCTTATGATGCTATCCCAAAGTGTAATGTTCAAATCATTTTTTTCTAGTGCATCTACTAAAAGAGAACCGTTCTTACTTGTGTGCAGTTACTAGCTTTGGAACAGCACACCTTACATATGTTTTAAAAACCAAATCATTTTTAATGATTTTTTTCAATGTATTTGATATGATTCTTTGAACATTTTGATTCAATTGTAGATTGTTAATTTTCTCATTTTACTAGCAAGTTGTTACCTTCATTTTAAGTAATAGTAGGAAGACAATATGAAAAAAAGAATTCTTGTTTTATTCTCAAAATTGATTGTTTCAATAATGAACTTCAATCCAGTCATCTATAGTTTTTTTTCTTGATCTACATCCATAAATCAAACATCTATGGAAAGTTTCATCAATATCTCATGTACCCTATCGATGTTCGATTTTTGAGAGGAGGCTCTCTCTAAAATAAAAGCAAATAGTCAGTTACTACTATCAGAGGAAATCAAACGATGAATAGAAGCTTATTTATGATTGATGAAAGATAAAAACTATTGAACAAAGAAAAATTTTCAACACCCGTCTCAAGAATTATTTAGTCAAAATTTTTTCAATAGACTAGTTTTATTGATATTCCTGTTTTAGGTAAGCGGTGCTTCCATGAGCTTTCAAAGTTATGATGCTGATCGTAATGATGATTTTGTCCGTTATCCATGTGATGTTCGTCTTGATGGATATCGTCTTATAATTCAACTTGCCAGTAAACCATGGAGCGAAGAAAAGAAACCCGAGAAAGAAGTGAAGCTTATTGGATGTCGAGAGTATTTAATCAAAGGCAAGTATTTAAAAAAGAAATCATTGATTAATTTCATATGAATCGTTTGATTATTTTTTTCAACTAACTTCAGAAGCTCGAATGATGCTCGTACCTGAAGCAACTTTAACACGTAGTAAATATTGGATGAATGAATATCCTATCGTCATACAAGATTTACAAATTCTGGATAAACAAATTTATAACAAACAACAATTGGAAAAATCTAAACTTGATACAAATGACTTTTTTAAGAACACGGCAACGACTCTCTCAATTTGGTTCGAAACTGGTCCACAAAAAGAAGAATGGTTTCATAAGCAAGTTTTTTTTTTCTTTATATTATTGATTTTCATACTACTTTGATTTTTTTTGTCGATTCTAGACTTTCTTTAGTTTTGCGTAAAGGAAAAGATGAAATCGAACGAGTTAAATATCTTCTTGCCACTAGCATAGGATCTCTGTCATCATCGATTTCGAATTCATGTCTAAATCGTCGTCAAGCTCAAACAGATGCTGATACTGTACTTATTTCAAATTCAATTACTGAAGCAAATATTCGTGCTTCAGTTATTGAAACACAGATAAATGCCGAAGCGTTACAACAAAGAGCGAAAGTATGTTGTTCGATGAATAATCTCATTCACGAGTTTTATTTTAATAGATTAAAACTATAAAATTATCCTGTCTTTTGTTAAGGAAAAAGAACCAGAGAATGCTGAAAAAGATGCAAGTGGAACACATCGAACTATTGCAAGAAAATCAAAAAAAATAACACCGAATGAAGCTAGTTTACAAAAAGTTCTTCAAACACCTGAATGTTTAGATGAAGCAGCTATAACAATCAATTTCATGGCTCGTCGACTTTTATTTGATATGTTTCATACTTCGATTTTTAAAGACTTATTAAAAAATAAAATTGAAATGAAATTAAAAGAAATTGCTGTAAGTTGTTTCTTATTTATCGTTTTCAAGACAAATTTTTTTTTTCTCGACTTTTTCATACATGATTAAAGTATTTTCTTTTTATAATCTTTATTCATTGATATATTTTTTAGGTATCTATTCTTGAAAATCTTCGTGTTGTGTCTATTGACTTAGGTAAAACATTTCCAATTATTTTAAAAATTGAACCAATGCAATGGAATACACAAGGTATTTGGTTCAATTTATTTCTCTATTATCGTGGTAATTTCAAGTAAGTTCAACATTAGAAAGTTTATCAAATCTTTACACAGTATTTCTATAGAACACACAATTTTAAAGATTTTTGAAAAAAATAACTTTGTATATCTTTATTTTTTCAAATTGAATGCTAATAGGAAAAGAATGAGAAGAGCTATTGTATTAACATTTATGCTCAAGCTTAATTCGTGGAAAAAATAGACTTCAACACCTACCTATAGAGTCTGTTGTTTACCTTGTTATCATTTAAGATAGAAACACTTTGTATGTGTTTGATTAAGATGATTCCTGTTCTAAAATTTTTTTTTTTTAGTTCAATTTGTTGTAAAGTATGGTAGAAAAGGGGATAGAATTAAATAAAACTTTTGTTGTTAAAGAAAGTCTTTAATTGAAGGATTTGTAGTAGAATAGAAACGATAATTTTTCTACGTTCTTCTATGTTGATTACTTCATGTTCAGATCTTCAGTCGTTGACTTTATTAACATCTTTGAATTTAATGAATAAAATAAAACCATAAGATTGTTACTCGAACAGAAGTAGATTTGTTCAAGATGAAGAATGTCGATTCTAACGAGGAAACGACCCCAGCTGACATTCACTGTTTGACTCCATATTTGACCCACTGGCTCGTCTTAGTGACAATAGTAAAGGCCTAAAATAGTTTGTTCTCATGAGTTTTTGTTGTCGAATTATGAACGGTATAGTAAATTTTCGATTCATTTGTAAATAGTTCGCAAAAGAATTTCGACCAAATATTTTGTGGATAGATAGATCTAATTTCTCTTAGAAAAGTCTGAAAGTTTCAACAGAAAATATTATTTTGTGAAGGTATTGAGTTTTCCAAATAGTCATTTGTCAACAAAATCGAGTTCATTTGAAAAAGTAGTAATTCGACAGAGGAACATTCTGTTTGATTAAAACTCTCAGAATGTTCTAAGAGTCATCGAATCTATCTATAGACAAATTTTTAGATCAAAACGTCAGTAAATCAGTCATAACTCAGTGTTGAATATCTACAGTCACTTGACGTAGTTCTCTCGTAAGCTTTTTCAGGATTTATACAAATTGTCACGATTGTAATTTTTTATGATACTTGACACAGGAGACTGCAAAACATTTTTAGAAAAAAAAATTAGTTGGGAAAGGAAGAGTCTTCTTAAATTAGTTCAGTTTCTTTTTGAGTACTCTAAGCAAAAGAGGTTATTTTCAAAAACTTTTGATTGTACAATTTAATTTAGATTATCCATAAAAAGTCGTGTTGTACTACAAAAATTGATTAATTATGATCCAAAAAATGATAAACCAATATTTGCACAACATCAAACATCACAAATTGTTCATAAAGATAATGAAAATATTGATGAAAATGATTTAATACAAAGACAAAAACTTTTAGCTAAAGAACCTGAAATTCCAGAAATGTATATAAATTATCATAAGTTCATATAGATTAAAATAAAATAATCAATTTTTTATTTATTCTAGGGCCGTAACACGAAAATTTGGTACCGCATTAACGAATCTAGCTTTGAATAAATATTTTCAAATGTTTGTTAATTTACCATTTGTAAAAACATTATTCGAGAAATTTTCACAGCAAGACGTTGGAATTGATGTTGAATTGACTAGTTTTAGTGGTATTCTTACAGTAAGTGTTATTCATTTTATTATTCTCAGGATGATCTTATTTTTCTTCTTAATATAAAAATCTCTTATTAGCTTAACATTCCTCCACCACCAAGTGATCGAATCTGGTAAATATTTTTATTTGATTTATTTAAATACATGGTTAATATATTCTTTCAGGGTGGGCTTTCCAGAAATGCCTGATCTTAATATCAAAGTAACGCCAACATACGGTGAAAAACAATATTCTTATATATTATTGCAAGATTTTCTTGCAGCTAAAGTTCGAGCTGAATTGAAAGTTAGAAATTAAGTCTTTTATTTAAGTAATATTTATTTGTTTATTTTGTAGCGTCTCGTTGTTCTTCCAGCTATGGATGATCAACTTTTACCATTCTTTCGAGATTGGGTTATCGATATTATGTGAGTTTTTAATTTTCGAACAACTAAATACTTGAAGAAATATTTACCAAGCTAGAAAATATGTTTTTTCTTGTTAATCCAATGTCTAAAGATGTCTATCAGTGTATCAACAGTTTATACTTTCGTATGAAAGTTTTATTATAATTTTCTACTCGTGCACTATTCATACATATCTGCGTCGGTTTTTTCTAACTATAAATTCTAAACCTTATCTCAAATTTTGTTAGTTTGTAAGAATCAAAACATTTTTATTTTTATTATTTTCTGATTGATCAAACTTTAATAGAAATTAGACAAGACTATACATTATTTCAAATGTAAATCTTAAATATTCACTTTTTCTTTGGGAAATTTGAACCATTTGAAACAAACATAAAACAATTGTTACATAGTTTGCTAATATTTTCAAAAATGAATTTTTTTTGTCTATTATTTGATTTCTTTTTTAGTGGTAATATTGTAGCCAAACCTATAAATCAACTCACTGATAATTATAAAGCAAAATTAAACATCCAAACTGCCGTTCGTGAAGGATTACAAGAATACAAAAATGTCAAAAATGTTAAAAGACAATCACCAGTATTATCTACCGGTTCAGAGACAACTCGTACTCAAATGTGAAGTTGTTTTTTCTTTAAAACTATATTTTTTTGTTTTTTTTCTATGAGTGAGTAAGTTCTGTATATAGGATTAAATTAAGATTAATACATCAAAAAAAAACAATCAAAGCAAATAAGCATAGCGAATTAACTTCTTCAGTCAATTTATTAATATTCAAATCATAATCATGTTTCACTTTGAACATTTTCTGTATCTTCTGTCAATTATCAATCTGGGATGTTAATACACATGTGAATGGTATGAATGATTACTGTTGCGCGGATAGTAAGAAACAGTCAAGATCATATTTGAGAAAACAATGCTATTGGAGAGAAAAAAAAAACGAAGTCAAACTATTCTGAAAAATTCAAATAATCTATCTAGACAACAGTGTCTCATATGTGTCAATATTTCGAGAATTAACCTGAGCATAATTGGATTCGATCGGAGGTCGAAGCATTTTTACTGACCTGAGCCTAGTCGAACTTTTCTAACCAATAACAATCCACTATCTTTGTACCGATCATTCTGGTAAGAGTGTGGAGTGTGAGTATTTATCATATTAAGTGGCTAAAAAACTTCGACAATTCTCAAGTTCAACTATATTGCAAAATGAAATTATTTTTCTTTATTGTAAATGTAAGATTAATATGTATTACGGAACTGCACATATCAGTGTTTATATCTATTTATTTGTTAACTCGTACTCCATGCAATTATCTTCACAATTCAAAAACTCATAAACATTCAAAACGAATAACAATTAACTATGGTATATAGGCAAAGTATTCCAGAAACAGCATGTATGCAATCATGACTTTATCCTTAATATAAATATTAAGTTATCCAAAGACTAAGAATGATCATCAACAAATACCATAGAGAAAGATCCCATTAATCAAGTGAAAAGAAAATTTTAAAATTTTTTTCAATTAAATGTTAGCTCATTATGTGCAATGTTCATAACGCATAGTTATCATGGTTAAAATAACACTTCTTTGAGGTGAAACAGGTCGAGCTTACATTTTCATAAGTTCATAGTATGAAACTTTTGTTCATGATGAAACCTGACCTAGAGCATTGATCTAAATCGTGCTGAAATGTACTTACTCAACTGCTTGTACTACAATTATAAGTACTTCGGCTCAAGCACATGCACTAGGGTTTATTTTAGAAAAAAATAGATCCTCTTTCGGCGTTGTAACTAAAAATATGTTTTTTTTTTCATGTGAAAAATCATAATTCGGCGTCGACGCTTTGAAAAATTCTGAAACTTTGTATTTCGGTCACTGTCATGAAGAACTATTGAAGAGTTGAACTTTTAGTTCGAAAACCAAAACTGGAATTTAGATAGAAGATTCACTTAAAATGCAAAATCTTAGTAATCAAACCGTTTATAGTATTTATATGATGAATAGGGACTATCGATTAAGAATATGTTTAATCCAAAAACGATCGAACACCTGAATAGGTTCCATTGTGAGAGAACAAAAGAAGGAAGATATGATCTGTTTTCATCAATCGATCACTACGCTACTGATTCAAAGAGTTTTGTATGCTGCTGTTATGCGTAAAATAAGATAAGTTTGGTGCAATTTTCATCCAATTTGAATAAGAGCATTATACTTGATTGAATTATTTCAAGCTTTCTATTGTAAGTCGAATTTGGCTTTTGATTTTCAAAACAACAATTTTGATGGGATATTGTAGTAAATCGAATACCAACTTTTTGACAACAAGTTAAAGACTGAAAAATGAAAACAAATCAATCTACCAATAAAAAAATGCGATATTGATTCATTCGGTATCATCCGTTATACCTTTATTATTATGATGAGTTCGTCAGAAAACATTCACTAATATTCTTTTATTATAAAATAAAAAACATCAATATGACATTTATGATAAATACCAATGGTTCATTTTTGTTTCAAAATAAATATAGTCCATCCCAAATTAGTTTCTCGTACCACCAAATATTTATTTTCATAATATATGCCACACCACTCTGCTCTGCCTATTTCGCTAACAATTACACTCCAAGCTGCTCCATATGTTGCATCAAGCCAGTTGCTAACATCTTTAGCGATTTTGAACTTTTCCGATTCTCCATGTGTATCAATCGCAGTACTAATTGTGCTCAATATATTTGTTCTCATGACATTCGTGATTCCGTTTTCTTGTGTTTCAATTTGTCACCGGACCACTGTAGTTGATTTCGAACAATCAAAATCACAAATATTAATTTTCTTTTCTGAAAAAAAGATTTATCGATGAGTAAGAATGTTCACTGTCTAATCGCTCTTTTTTTCGAAAATCACAGTTATATATATATATATATATGTGAATATCAATACACTGGGAAAAAAACAGAAGTGAAGAGAAAATACCAATACACCTGAACTGGATCAACGGAGAGAGAACGATATGGAATATACCATGAGCGCAGGAAAGGAAAGAAAAGAATACATATGAAAACGTCATCTATAACAGAATACAAGAAAAGAGGAAAACGTAAGATCATCTCTCGTATTCTAACACGATGAGAGAGTACTTTTAAAATTTTATGTTCAACTACTTCGTTGTCAGAACTGGATTACTTGACCAACAAAGAACACCTAACACTGACAGTTGGGAGCGACAAATGCCAGGAAAAAATTCTCATTATGTATCGTGTAGAATGAAAATTGACTAAAAAGTATCGATGCAGAGGAATTGAGCTCGAAAATGAGTTTCGACTGTTTGCCTGACTATATTATCATTCATCTGATGCTCTCAACGCGAAGAAAAAATCTCGTTCAAATTAGGTAATCTTTGTTAAACAATAGCCACTTTTCATCATAAGTCTCGGGAAAAAGAAAAATTGAAGTTCTTTTTAGATTTCCTCATACCAAGATTTTCAACAAAATACGAATAATTTACAAGCAATTTTTCTCCACTATCGAGAAACTGAGTCACCGATTTAAATGACGCTCGTAGAAGTTGCAGTTGATTTTTTTTATACTTCATCTGTAGAATAAATGGTAGTCATGACTAAATGCACACTTTTGCGAAACACTTTTTTCACCTTAAAGATGCTAGTAAAACTTCAAATTCTACGTTCGAATAGTAGAACACAGCTATAAACAAAGACTTGTCTTGGAATAAAACACAATGAAATAATGTATTTTTAGAAAATTTTATTTAAAAAAGAAATATATTAAGTTTGCAAAAGTTTGCTCTCATAAAGAACCTTTCTTGAAGTACTTAAAAAATCCAAAGTGTGTTGCAAACAGCAGTTATATCATTTGGATCAGTCTTTATCTTACCAAACAAATGCAAAGTAGGAGTTCAACGTGAATCATTTCCTTGAAGAATCGACTGAGCAGCAATTTTTATTCATCAACATCAATCGTAATTCGGTCTACAACGTTAAGAAAAACGTTTCTGTAGTGTGTCTCTTGACATCTGCTCCACAGCCAAAAAGCACCTCTTCACATTAATGCGTTCGTTTGAACACAAAATCCAATTACCCTGTTGTTCTTTAGCTTCACTCTCTAAACGGTTTATAGACTATTTTGTACCAAGTTTGGTAATAGAGGTAGCGTGTTTACTTCAATATATGAGCAACACATGTTGATGGAGAAGATAATGACGTGACGTATTACCTTTTCGAGGACGAAAAAAGTGAATCTGCTGATAACAGCGAAAATGAAACTGAGAGAGACTACTTTTATTCTTCATTTCTGCAATCATTTTTTACATGAAGAACGAGAGCAAAGGATTTTACTACGATTTCACGTTCTTATTCCCAAGGAAAAAGAATGAACATCCATCATCAGTATAGTAGATCACGACAGTTTAGTATTTTTGGCTCTTTCATTACTCTTTGTATTGGCACATTAATTCTTCGATTCTAAAGTACAGATTAAAAAAAAGTACCTCATAGATATCTATTCGAAAATATCCTACCTCCCTCACTTACAATGACATAATGATGATGTTTTTTTTAATCAACAGAGATGAATCGAAATAGAAGAGAGGCGAAGAGAGAAAAGAAAGAATCAAAGAATCTAATACATGACATAAGAACGGACACGAAAGAACAAGTTTTCTAACTAAAGATGTATTATGGTCGATAGTCATGATATATTGATAAGTCAGCATACAAAGTCTCAGTCATATCAAATGCCTCTATCAGTCTAAGTAATAAAATCACGAAGAATTTCATTCGAACAAGTGAATCGAATTCGTTCATTATCGAGACGTCAAAGGTGATCTCTATTAGTTATCAGTTGTCTTGGACATTATTCGTTGACCTAAGTCATCTGCAAGTGTAGATAATATTTTAAAGACAAACGCAGCACTTTTTGTAGTTGTAACTTGACGTGCAGATAGGCAATGGAGTTTTTCTGTTTGCTGAATAAACTGAACTCTATTCATAGTGGTCTTCATTGATTTTGAGACAATTTTACACAAGTCGTTTGTTTCATAGGTCACCGACTAATTCGTACTGATAACATTTTTACTTTAATGTTTCTCTGAGCCCCACAAAATCGCACTGTGGTTGTGGATATGGGTATGCAACCAAACTAATTATAACTTCGAGTTTCAATACCAAGCTTTGCAAGGTTGAGCTATGTTTGAAAACGTGGGAGTATAGGATGTCAGTCTAGGTGAAGAGAGGAGCACACCAACATTCACACCGTCGATTGTAATTTAAAGTTTTATGCAATGTTCATTTTAACCTGATAATAAATCTTATATAGGATTCCAATCTATACATCTCTTGTGAAATATCTGCATGTACACAACAGTCTATTTCCATTTTTCAAGCAATCTTCAAGAGTATTATTATCAATAACTAACTATCTAGCATTTTTAAGAAAACTTTCTTTCGTCAAAGGCATGAAGAACAAACTTGAAACAAAAATTGCGTTGTTCTTCTGAAATTCATCCCATGTAACGAAATAGGTGCAATCAAGTCATCATGATGATGATGATAATAACAGTAAGCAGTGATGATATTGCAATCTTTTTTATCTCTTGTGTATATAAAGAAAAACTATTCATACAAACTTTCATCTTCGTAGAATAACTTCACTATAATGCGTTTGTTTTTGTTTCTCATCGCTGTCGTTGTCACTATCCAAACAACAACTGCATATCGATCAGATAAAATTTGGAATTTATTTAAACATATTCATAAAAAACAATACATTAATGCTCGAGAAGAACAATATCGGTAAGAATCATGAGTCATAAATCTATATATTGATAAGTTGAGTGATAAATTTAGCTATACAATATTTAAAGACAATGTAGTCATGATTAATCGACATAATCTAGAAGCTGATCTAGGTTTACATACGTACACCCTCAAAATAAATCAATTTGCTGACATGGTATACATGCTAACTTCTACGTTAGAAAAATTTAATCCATTGTTTTCGTCGTTTTAGACACATGAAGAATTTACTAGAACAATGTTAAGCGGTTTAAAACTGACTCTTACAACAAATGTACCAAAGACATTGGATTTACCATTAAATGGTAAAATACCAGCTTCTGTTGGTGAGTATTCTAGATCTAAATACTTATAATAGATTATCTCAATTGAGCTTGCTTGTCGAATCATTATACATATTTATGTTTGAAACAGAATAATATTGAATTTTTAGGACTCTAATATCTCGAGAAAGAAAAATTGTTTTGAGCTGAGATTTTCAGAATATCCTAGAGAGGTTAAAATTCTACTAAAATACCTATAACTCTGGACAGAAAGCCTGATGTAGTTTATTCTTCAGAGCTTTTTGACACCTCATTGAAGTCTCCCTTATGCACAAAACCCGAATTTGAAAGCAAAAGATCAGTTAAAAACGCTTTCTCACCAGTGGAAAAGATTGAGACTATTAGCCTAATTTTTGAAAACTATAAAGAACATCAAATTAAATAAGATATTATTTTATGTATGTTCATTAGATTGGCGAAAAAAAGGTGCAGTGACTACAGTTATTGAAGATCAAGGTCAATGTGGTTCATGTTGGGCTTTTACAGCAACCGGTGCTTTAGAAGGACAACATGCTTTAAAAACAGGAAAATTAGTACGTTTATCAGCACAAAACTTAATGGATTGTTCCGGTAGCTTTGGTAACTACGGATGCAATGGAGGATTGATGGATTCAGCATTTGAATATATCAAAGCTAATAATGGAGTTGATACTGAAGAAAGCTATCCATATGAAGCAAAAGATGGTCCATGTCGTTTTAAACCAGCTAATGTTGGAGCTACCGATACAGTTAGTATTTTTTTTTCTGTGTTTTCTTTGTCTTTTTATGGCTTCTATCGTATAATTTAGGGTTTTGTTGATCTTCCAACAGGAAATGAAACTGCTTTGCAAATAGCTCTTGCTACAGTTGGTCCAATGTCTGTAGCAATTGATGCTCAACATACATCATTTCAATTTTATTCATCAGGTGTTTACAATGAACCTGATTGTTCAACAACAAACTTGTGTCATTCATTTGTTTTGGTTGGTTATGATACATATCATAATAGTACAGTTAAACAAGATTATTACATTGCAAAAAATTCTTGGGGTGAATCGTGGGGTAATAAAGGTTATGTTTGGATGAGTCGTAACAAAAAAAATCAGTGTGGTATTGCGACGACGGCCAGCTATCCTCTTGTTTGACAGTGTAATCTAATTTTTAATAAAACTTAAGCTTCTGCTATATACTATACTATTAGTGTTTACTAATAAATATATTTAGCAAAAAAGCTTGCAACAACCATATAATTGCCATTTGAAGCTGTTGGTAAGTTGGTTTGCACTAAAAAAAACCTGAAAAAATACGAATTTTCGAATCACAAAAAGGTTAAAAGTCTGTGATGTCACATGCTAAGTATATTAGTGAATTGATTCAAAATAATAAGCGTATGGTACGCATGTGATAGTATTCAATAAACATGAATATATCAGACAATTAATTATGAATGGCATTTTATCTATATTTTACTTTACAAAAACGAAGTAAAATATCCAATATAACTTCACTCAATAAAATAGAATAATATTACATAATGTAGAATACGATAGTCTAAATATGAAAAGCAAAGTGATATAAAGTGAGAAAAACAGCATTTTTCATTTTAATGATAAAAATCGATCATTTTCAACTTTATTATTAACTTATTTCATGATGACAAGATGATTAAAAAACGTTGATATATTTTAGCGTTATCAATGCATGTTACTCAACTGTGACATTAGCAAGAAATTTCAACGATATTATATTAGTTTACTTTGTAGATAAAGTATGCTTACTTTTCGTTACTCACTAAAATTAAGTATTCTCACTTGACTCGATTTTGTAAAGTTAAGATAAAGTGTCACTCACAAGATCAACAAACAACATTTTTTCCCTTCTATTTGTAATCTGTTTGGGCTTCTATTCAATTTTTGTTCAATTACATTGTCAATATTTCATTGAGTGTGAGCGTGTGGATTTGTGTTTAAAATATATAATTCCAAGCAGCTTACGACTACCGTTTTAATATTGCTTAGGGATCATCATCAAATAAATTTGGACTTCTAATATACTCTGCATATCGATTTTATAGTATCATATCAGTAGCTTATGAAAGTTCAAAGAAGCGCTTCCAACTTCGATATTTTTTGAAAAGTCGAGAATTAAGAACATAAGAATCAACAATCTATCCATGATGTTAAAATAGATATTAACATAAAAATTAAAATCGAACAAATTATTACATTCAAGTCATTCAAATGTTATTTTTATTACAACGAATTACAACTTACTAAATATTATATCATGAACCACTTGATGAATTTTTGCGAAGACAAAAACAGCCGTTGTCATGATACGGCCAAATTATAATCACTATTGATTCAGTTTGAAATAAGACAAAGATTAGTATGTAAAACATGGTGGAATTCCAAATTTATCTGATCATAACACTTACGATAAATCGCAGCGATCGCCGTAAGTAGCTTGGAATTATTTCATTTTAATTATATTCATACTCTTCAGTACATGTACTAGAATTTATTCTAGAAGAAACGAACTCTTTTTTATAGTCCTACAATAAAAAGCGTTCTTTTTTTTATTTGAAAAACCATAGTTCGACATCGATGTCGTGAAAAAATTTAAAACCTTGTACTTCGATCACTATGATGAAGACTTACTTGGTGTGAAAATTTTCGTCTGAAAATCACATCATTTTATCGTATTTACCTACTCAGAGGAATTCTCCATTGAACACCTCAAAATGCTTCATCATGAGTAAACAAAAGAAGAAGGATATAATCTCCGTTTGCAGCGACCGATCATCATGCTGTTGAGTGATTGGTTTTATATAGTGCTGTAATACGTGAAATAAACGAAGTTTTTTGTGTTTTTCATCCAATTTGAATAAGATCAGTATATTGGGTTAAATTATTTCAAGCCTCGCATTATAAGTTGAACTTTTTGTCTTTTTTTCTTCAGAGCAATAGTTTCGATGTGATATATTGTACTGAATCAAATATTAAGTTTTTTGACAAAAATTTGAAGACTTAAAAATGAAAACTGACTGACATGTCAACGAAAAAATGCAACAATTATTCATTGGAGATAGTTTAATAATATTCTTTTATTAGGAAAAAGTATCAATATGATATTTATAAAAAAAAAGCAACATTAGCTCATTTTTGTCTCAAAATAAAAATAGTCAATCCCAAATAAGTTTCTCGCACTACTAAATATTTGTTTTCATAATATGTGCCACACCACTCTGCTTTGTCTGTTTCGCTAACAATTACACTCCAAGCTGCTCCATATGTTGCATCAAGCCAGTTGCTAACATCCTTAGCGATTTTGAACTTTTCCGATTGCCCGTGTGTATCAATCGCAGTGCCAATTGTGTTCAATATATTTGTTCTCATCACATCTGTGATTCCACTGTCTTGTGTTCGAATTTCCCATCGTGTCATTGTAGTTGATTTCAAAAAATCGAAATCACAAATGTTAATTTTCTTTTCTGAAAGAAAGACTAATCGATGAGAGAATGATTATAAAATTTTCTGTTCAACCACTTAAATACCAGAACTATGAGTAGTATCAAAATTGAACTTTGAATTCGTTTTCAGTTTTAAGATTCAAGTTTCAAGTTTGACACATTTTATAATTTCGTTAGCTGACAGATTTCGACTCCTATCTATCATGTGAATTCTTTTTTTGATAATCTGTTGATTCTCAAACTATTTGCAAGGAATACAAATGATCTTAATATTCGTTAGTTTTTCAATCGATCTTTACCATTGAAACAAGTATGTGCACGATCAAAATGAAAATAAAAGTTCCTCAGAACGCTTTGATGAGCTTTCTTTCAAGAAAACGAGTTATTAACTTCGTATAATGCTAATAAAAGTTGTGTTTGATTGTTTTATATTTGACTTGCAGAAGAAATACTGATCGAGACTGAATTGAAAATTTTTGAAAAACACATCTCAGGCTAGAAGTTTCGATAAAACTTTAAACTCAATTTTTTTTTCGAATTTCACCTTCAGATAGTAGAACAGAACTATAAACCAAGACTTATCTTGAAACAAAACAAAATTAACAAGTGTTTATCTTAGAGTATTTCATTTAAAAAACAAGTACATTAAATTTGCAAAAGTTTACTCTCATAGCAGAACTTTCTTGAAATAATTATTATATCAAAAGTGTGTTTCAAAAGATGATTATGTGATCTAGTTAGTTTCTATGTTATCAAACAAATATATAATAGAAGTTTAACATGAATCATTATTACATTTGACCTACGAATAACAGCGAAAATGAAACAGAAAGATCAATTTTTATCATTCACTTTTATAATCAATTGCTGCTTAAAGAACGAGAGCGAATATATTGTATCATGACTACGCGTTTCTATTCCCGAGGAAAACAATGAAAATCCATCATCAGTATAGTAGATTATGATCGTATAGTATTTTTAGCTCTTAAATTACTGTTTGCATTCGCATATTACTTCTTCTATTCTAAAACAAATATTAACAAAAAAGAAGAAAAACTTCATTGACAAAAAAAAAGCACGTCAAGTATATGTTCAAAAGCATCTCGTCTCCAGCACATATAGTATCACAATGATGATGTTTTTCTTAATCAAGAGGAATGAATCGAAAAAGAAAAGAAGCGAAAAGCAAAAAACGAAACAAGAACCAAAGTATATAATGTATGGCATAAGAGCAGACAAGAAAGAACAAGTTATCTAACTAAAGATGTATTATGGCTGATGGACATGATACATCGATAAGTCAGAATACGAAGTCTGAATAATATCAAATGCTTCTATCAGTCTAAGTGATAAATTTGCGAAGAATTTCATTCGAACAAGTGAATCGAATTCTTTCATTTTCGAGACGTCAAAAGTGATTTCTAATAATTATCAGTTATCTTTGACATTATTCATTGATCTGCGTCTTCTGCAAGTGTAGATAATATTTTAAAGAAAAACGAAGCACTTTTCGTAGTTCTAATTTAACGTGCAGATAGACAATTGAGGTTTTGTGTTTGCTGAAAAAAACTGAACTCAAGAATCAATCGATATCGAACTAGTCATGCAAGACTATTGAATAAAGGATGTAAAATTTCTGGTGTTGATTTTGCAGGTATCCACAATGAATCAATACCTGGTCATAAATCTTGTAAACCTCATGACCAGATACCTCTAATAATGAAAAATAGTCATTATTCAATGGTAAATAACCGCATGGACTTGATGTTAGATGGCGTTTAGTTTCTGTCAAAACAGAGTCAAAGATAAACTGACCTTTACAAACTAAAAACATTTTTTTACCAGAATCAGTTGTGATTTCATGTATTAAGTTTGGACCTATGTCAACATATGAGAATGGTGCAATACGACCTTTAATTGAATGTGTCTTAGTTAATTCTTTTGTCAAACGTTTAATAACTGCTGCTGTTAATATAGAAAAAATTTTAGCACCAGAAAGTACATAAATAATTTTGTTCGTAGTTTAAGTATATAAAATTGAGCGATATGTTTAACAAATTTTGATTTATTACTTAAATCATGATAATTAATCGATGTTGCCAAACATGCTTTTACAATACGATATAGATCATTGTCAATTTTCTATTTCTAAGTCATTTCGATCAAAGTATAACGCTAACAATGTTGCTAGTTTGCTATTCAATTCTTTACAAAAACCTTGAGCACGTTTGCTTGATCTACTTGCACTGAGTAATGCAATAAATGATTGATTGGAAGGTAATGATGATAGCCGACTACTAAATATATCATAACTATCAATAACTAAATTTTTCATCTCGAATACGATCAATATTCTTCTCTAAAACATAACACCAGCATTAAAATATTAAACATGTGACCATCTCAATTCTTCTTATTTTTTTCTTATTATAAATGTAGTCGACGACATGGAGAACGTAAACAGAAAAAAAAATCATTTGTTTTTTCTCGTTGCTCTAGATGCCATATATTTACGTGCAAAGCATTAAAGACAAACTAACTGCTTGTCAAAGAAAGAGCACGAAAGTGACCTTCTCACAGTAACTATTTATTAGTAACTCGGTAGTTTATTTGGCTAAAATGAGACATAGACAAAGACAGATTTTTAAACGACAGCACAAGAAAAACTAGAAGGCGATTCTATTAAGCACATTTACATTTTATTCCTATAATTACACTATCTGTTAACTATATTTTTTTGCGAAATTCATAATAATCATGTGGAAGCTACAGATTTCGCTCACGCCCAGTATCGAAGTGCATGTTCGTTGTCCTTCCATAATTGATTCATGAAAAGCTTGAAACAGACTCAGATATTGTGATTGCAAACTTTATAATTTTTGATAGTTTTTCGGTCGACTCCTTGCAACTTTACTATCAAAACAAATCAATTTTTTTATTTACTCAATAATACTGAAAGGTAGAACATCTGTAGACGAAAAGTTATAAAGCTAATGAAAAACACGCATGTGAGAGTCTCAATATCATCCCATTCATATTTTAATTGTTCATGACCGAAAGTTGAGTTTAATGAACAATAAAATCATTATTGGTAAAATAATACCGGTCAAAGAAGCAGTACAACTTGATGCTCGATTACAATAATCTTTATTGGAACAACAATAACGGACGCTACCACCAACACTACTTCCAGGGGTACATGTTCGACCACCAGCCATCCTTTCTATATAGTTTGGATAGACCACTTTCTAGTGAATACAAAAAATGAAAATATACTATTCAATGTAGAAGTCAGTACGCACTAAACAATAGGTATTGCCTGGAACTGGAAGATCGCCTGATGTAGTTTCATCATACGGATCATTGCATCCTGAGTTACTCCAACCAGTACAAGATACACAATTTATTCCATGTGTGATCGGAATCAAGGCTAAATTGAAATTTTTATATCTTTGTGTATTGAAAATATTCTTACCAAATAGACAGAGAGACAATAAAATTAAAAAATTCATTTTTATTTCTACTGATGATGCTTGCTGAATTACTCGGTCGCGTGCTACGAATAAATAATTGAAAGATGAAAGAATCAAATTTCATTCTTATTTATTTAAGATTTATATGTAAATTATAAGACTTTATTTATTCTTAATTTTTCTTTCATGATTGTTCTACTCTTCGACTATATACAAAAAACAATATCTTTTATAATTTTCTCCTGAGTTACAAAAGTAAAAGATATCTTGACTACGTAGATATAGTAGAACAAAACAATCTACTATGTTACTTTTTAAAGTTTAATATTATTGAAAACAGCATCATATAGCATTGATGATCTCATTGTCTGAACAAGACAATGCACAATAATGCTACATAGCGTACATTTACTCAAGATCAATAATAAAGTATGCCAAGTGGAAAATATATGGTAGTTTTAAAAGAGTAATGTTTATAAGCGCTTTTAGACTTTATTACTTAGTAAAAGTGAAAGAATTCGAAGCATTCAACAATCTATGGTTAATGCTTAGTACTATTTCAATAAATTTCATCTGTAGACATTCAAAATTGACTCTAACATTCTTAAATTATAGATTGTATTGTGACAGTGAAACATTTCAGTTCCAATTCAAAATCTCTGAAGTATTATATTACTTGTATTACTTTTCGACTAATCTACATATATAATTTATAAATGATAGAGAGGGTATGAGTTTGGGTTGGGCGAACAAAAGGTACCGAACTATAGCCGCATCTTATATCCACCCTCATATTGGGTCGCTAATCAAATCGACAATAAATACATATAGAAATGAGTCAGAATTTCTAGCGATAATTCAGTAACATTTCGTGATACATCATGGCAATTGTGCAACATTATTACAAATCACCAGACATATATTTGATAGAGATACTTTGATCACAAGTAAATCAATGCTAGTCAGACTAAATAAGATGACTTGCTAACGATTACTGTTTGTACGATAATTTTGAATCGGAAACTTTATTTCGTATATTCTTTAAATCATCATGGAGTTTCATTTTGACTATCTTATCATTACATTTCATCCTCATTGAATTTTGCATTGTCAACAAATGAATTTCTCAAAAAAAATAAGTTTTCCTTACATATTGTGTAAAACATAGATATTTTGAAAATTCACACGTTGACAATGCAATAGGCGAAACGGATGAAATTTACTATATGAGATCGTCTCAGAGAGGCTTTCATATATACAAAGCTGCAGATTGCAATTCAAAACTACGTTTTTTTCGAAAGCTACTCGTTCAGAATGAGTTCAGTAAAAAGCTATTTATTTTGAATACATATGGAAAAGAGGCGGAATCTTTTGAGATTATGCTATTTTCATAATTTTTCTACGTATGAGCGCAGTATGGCAACAATATGAGCAGATCATTTACGAATATTTCCTCGTTGAAATCTAGTGCTTCTATATGTAACTGTAACCACTCTCCATAACTTCCAATAATTGCGATCTAAGAGCCTAAAAATGCTTAAATACCTGATTGCAAGTGATCTTCAGCTGCTTAGAACGTACACTTTCCAACGAGAAACATAATCTATATTAGGCGATCTTTTTTTGCTTAAATTTTCAAATGGATATGCATTTGTTTGCTGGGGAAGATTGGGTCGATCATTAATTACATAGTCCACATGGTTCTGTAGTGATTGACGTGCGATTCCTTTCCAGCAAACGAATGACTATGAGTCATGAAAGATTTTCAGAATGGGTTCATATGTTGACGTGGCTCATGTGAAAGTTTTAGCAAGTTTTTGGGCGATTCAGATCATTGTCGGAGAAAGAATGTAGTGGGTACCAATTGAAGTATAATTCATGTCATCACAAAGGACAGAGCTCGCAAAAAAGCTTATATTCTGGGTTTAGTTTTTGTGAAGATAAGTATTAGTTTGTTCTGTTGATATTTGTTGCATTCGAAGTATTGGTCGAGACGTAAGTCACTGCGACTGATATGTCTTGAATTTCTATGTTTCAAGACTTCCGGTGAAAACCAGTGGCAAATAGTTTCTTTAAGCGAAGACCAAAGCTGTCGTGTCGCTCGTCCGTCTATGTATGTCCTCTATCGGGTGTGTGCATTGACAGGCAAAAGACATGAAATTAAATCGATCCTATAGTCATGGTGACGGATTATTTTGTGGTAGTTTCACATTGGTCAATTTTTCTATAAATAATAAAGCTTATTTTTCTTTTCTGCCATTATTTATTCAAACTAAAAAACAGTCACAAACAGAACTCAATATTCAACTGACGCACACTATGGGTGGAAAAACTTCTAAGAAAAACAATATATCGTCTGGGGACACTGTTGCAACTACAAAGGCATCATCAAATACCACTCAACCAAGAAGAAGCATGATTCAAAATTATTTGCTCATCTGGGTTGATGGCTGTATTGATGAAAACAATAATGATTGTCAAAATACATTGGCACAATTGCGCACTGTCGTAAACGAGGTAACAATCTGTACTGAACCGGCACAATGTATCAAATTTCTTAATGATATGGATGACGAGAAAGCTTTCATCATCTCTTCTGGAGCTTTCGGTCAGTATCTTGTGCCAGACATCCATGGCATGCCACAGCTAGATGCTATTTACATCTTTTGCGGTAACAAAGAGCGACATGAACGATGGGCAAAGCAATGGTCAAAGATTCAAGGTGTGTTTACTTCAATCCTGCCCATATGTGAGTCATTAAAGAAGGTCACCCGGGAATGCGATCACGATGCTATTCCGATGAGTTTCGTTCCGAAGCGGGTAGTGACAGCAGCAGCATCGGATCAACAACATCTCGACCAATTGGAACCATCCTTTATGTATTCGGTATTATTCAAAGAAATTCTATTGGAAATCGAGGAAGATGATGCTAAGTCGGTGAAAGATTTTGTCGTCTATTGCCGCAATAAAGGTATTCCTGAATCTCAATTGACGTACTTTCAAGATGAATATCACCAGAAATCGCCAATCTGGTGGTATAGTTGTGAGACTTTTTTATATGGCATGCTCAATCATGGTCTACGATCACTCAATGTGGAGGCTATGGCAAAAATGGGCTTTTTCATCCGTAATCTCCATCGACAATTAGAACAATTGCACAAACAGCAATCAAGCAATTATACGAAACAATTTATTGTTTATCGTGGTCAGGGACTCGTCCAGCAGGACTTTGAACGTCTATTCGATTCGAAAGGTGGCCTCCTCTCTTTCAACAACTTCTTATCTACTAGTACAAAAGAACAGATAGCTATGAAATTTGTTAACCATGCACTGGAAAAATATGAGAACATTGTAGGCATTCTCTTTGTTATGACAATCGATCCAAGTAAAGTTTCCGCTTTAACTACGCCGTTCGCTCTTATCGACGCACATAGTGCTATTCCACAGGAACAAGAAATTCTCTTCTCAATGGATACTATTTTTCGTGTCAATGAAATAAAAGAGACAGTCAACAATAGCCGCCTGTGGGAAGTACAATTGACTCTCACAGACGATAGTGATTTACAACTAGCTGCTCTCACTCACCGCATGCGACAGGAGACTAAAGGAACTACTGGATGGCATCGAATGGGTAAGTTTATGCTCAAAGTGGGTCACTTGAATGAAGCCGAAGAACTTTACAATGAATTACTCATAAATTCCTCCAGTGGGATAGATAGGGCACATATCTATAACCAGCTTGGAAGCGTAAAAAACGAACAAGGAAAATATCAAGAAGCAATTTTATTTTACGAAAAGTGTCTCGAAATCATTCGAAAAACTCACTCCGAAGATCATCGGATGTTAGGTAACATCTACACCAACATCGGTCATGCATATCTGGATATGGACAACAACTCGAAAGCGCTTGAGTTTTACGAAAAAGCACACAAAATAAAAGAAAAAGCTCTGCCTTCAAATCATCTCGATTTGGCTAATTCCTATAGCAACCTTGGTAAAATTAATAAATGCACCGGTGACCACTTGAAAGCACTTGAATTTTACGAAAAAGCACGGCAAATCTACGAAAAAACTCTTCTTCCCAATCATCCTACTTTGGCTACTTTCTACAGCAGCATCGGTCAAGTGTATAATGCCATGGGTGACTACTCCAAAGCATTTGAATTTTATGAAAGAGCACTTAAAATAAGAGATAAAGCTCTGCCTCCGAATCATCCCTCATTGGCTTTTTCTTACAACGACATTGGTTCCATGTTTAACAACATGGGTGACTACTCGAAAGCACTTGAGTTTTACGAAAAAGCACTTGAAATAAGGGAAAATACTTTGCTTCCGAATCATCCCAGATTGATTACTTGCTACAACAATATTGGTCTTGTGTATAAGAACATGGGTGACTATTCAAAAGCACATGAATTTTACGACAAAGCACTTAAAATAAGGGAAAAAACTCTGCCTCCAAATGATCCAGAATTGGCTCTTTCCTACTGCAGCATTGGTCAAGTGTATGGAAACATGAGTGACTACACAAAAGCACTTTCATTTCTAGAAAAAGCGCTAGCCATCCAGCAAAAATCACTTTCTCCATCACATCCTCATATTAAAGTGACGACAGATTGCATCCATAATGTAAAAAAGAAGTTGTAAATGTGTTTCCTTTTCTTGGTCTGCTCAATAAACTCTTTCTAATTGCTACTCACGTTCTCTCTGGATTTCTCGACTTTCTATCGTACATACGCGACATCCTCTCCTGCAATGGACACCGTACTTCGACCCAGTCCGATTTTTTTTCGGACCAGACTGGACCGACCAGTCCAAAATCCAGTAGTGTCAAACTTGAAACTTGAATTCAATTGAAATTTAAGTTTCAACTGAAATTTCAAGTTTCAGGTTTCAAGTTTCAAACCGACAGCGCTCCTGCGATGATGTGTGTGTGAATGTGTGTGAGTAGAGATTGATGAAACTCTTTTCGCAGCCCCCCCCCCCCCCCCCCCCCCACCAGCTGCGATGACGTATGTGTGTAAATATGTGTGAGCCGTGATTCTTCAGAGTGCTGTCTATTTGAAAATTGAAAATTGAAGGTTGAAACTTGAAGGTTGAAGCTTGAAGGTTGATACTTGAAGATTGAAACTTGAAGGTTGAAACTTGAAACTTGAAACTTGAAACCTGAAACCTGAAACTTGAAATTTGAAACCTGAAACCTGAAACTGGAAATTTGAAACCTGAAACCTGAAACTTGAAATTTGAAACCTGAAACCTGAAACTGGAAATTTGAAACCTGAACCCTGAAACTGGAAATTTCAGCGTGTGGGTGGGGTGTCGGTGTGGGTGGGTGTGCCTGTGACAGGACATATTTGAACATCCACATCCACACCCCATACCCACACCCACACACTCGCGACGCTCTTGGTAAATGGATGACATTACATAACTCGTCACATTGGTCAGATGGTTTATTACCGGTAGTTTATGGTATTAATACAAGATTATCAGTTGTTACCAAAACTACTCCATACCAAGTTATGTTTGGGCAACCACATCGTTCCGATTCAGATTTTTGGAAACTTGTGAAAGAAAATGAAGTTATTGATGATTTTAATGATGATATTATGGAGGATAAAAGAGATGATTTAAATGATTGTGCTGATATTATTCACAAAGATGTTATTCAACTTGTTCAACAATTATCTGATAACGCTGCTGCAAGTGCATTAGTTGGTTCTTCATCACCACATTCATCACCAATTAAACCGCAATAAACAAAACATGATCTTGTACGAAAAGTAGCTACCGATAATTATATGAACGTTGCAAATAAAAAAATGAAGCATTATCACGATAATGCAATTAATGAAACAAACAAATTTAACTTAAATGTTTGTGTTGGTATTAAGATCCATACAGTTGATATAACAAACACTGATGCTAAACTTTTACCATGTTTAATTGTTGAAAAAATTGAAACAGATAAAAAAGATACGTTTAAATTAGTTTGTCACTATGGTAAATTGGAAAATATTTATTCAATTGAACATCTTGTTGATTTAAAACTGGCTTGTCCAGACGAATTAAAACAAATTGTTATTAACAATTTAAAGGACATCACATTTATTGAAGCATATATACTTTACGTACGTATATTAACAACCGGTCGAACTTGCGATTGTAAAGGCAAGTGCTCTATAAAACAATGTTCGTGTAAAAAAATAGGAGTTTTTTGTTCGGCAAAATGTCATTCAAAACGAGGTGGGTGTGCAAATATGGGTGAATAGATTAAAACTTCTTTTTCTTGTAAATTGTTCAATGGAATGAAAAGATATCATTTAATTAAAAAAATATAATTTTTCACCTTTTTGCTGTTTTTGATTGCGTGAATTTATCTCCAGTCAAATTCTAAATGTGCCTAGGAGAAATTGGAATTCTGGTTATGACCGATGAGTGTTTAGTCAATATTAGAATTCTAATTTTACCCAGTCAAAATTAGAATTCCAACTTTGCCTAGGCAAATTTAGAATTTGCCTGAATTCCAATTTTGTCTACAACATACATATTCGTAACCTGATCCAGGGAGATCTCTTGTGCCTGTGATGGCGAGGCAGTGTAGTACTCGGGAAAGTCGTTATGTTCGTAGGTCCCTGTCGCTGCTTACGTATATCATACCCACGTTGATTACCTTACCAGTTCGGTGTGGCCCGCTCTGCGTGTACCCATTTCGGGTTTACAGACGGCCTCCCTGGCCGTCCGCGCGGGTACGCGAAAAGAAGCCGAGAAAAGTTGGGAGGTGAGGTGAATAGCAATACGAACGAATTTATTGAGCAAGCAAAAAGAAAAACGAAGTACAGTTACATTTTCTTTTTCACATAATCAATATTATTTCTGGATTGTTTAATCAAAGGATGTGCCCGTGGAAGTGATTTTTCTCGGATAGCAAGTGCCTTTTCTAGAAATGAAAGTGCCTTTGGGTAGTCACCTTTGCTAGAGTAGGCCATGCCAATGTTGTTGTAGGAAGTAGCCAACTCAGGATGATTCGGAGGCAGAGCTGTTTCTTTTATTTTAAGTGATTGTTCGTGAAATTCCAGTGCTTTTCAGTAGTCACCCATGTTGTTATACACTTGACCGATGTTGTTGTAGGAAATAGCCAAATCTGGATGATTCGAAGACAGAACTTTCTCGTAAATTTGATGTGCTTTTTCGTGAAATTCAAGTGCCTTCGAGTAATCACCCATGTCGCTGTACACTCGACCGATGTTGTTGTATGAAGTAGCCAAATGAGGATGATTGGAAGACAGAGCTTTTTTGTGATTTCCAGATATTTTTTGTAAAATTCAAGTGCCTTCGAGTAGTCACCCATGTTGTTATACACTTGACCAATGTTGTTGTAGGAAATAGCCAAATCTGGATGATTCGAAGGCAGAACTACGTAGGTGAAGTTAGCACCAGATTCGAATAAATCCCGCCAAGATTCGCCCAGGAACATGTTCCAAATGTCCCAAGGTGTGTTCCAAGTACAACTCGATGAGCTCTATCGAATGGTGTATTTCGATTCCCGATAGCTAAAACACCGTCCACGAAAATCAGAAAATACTAGATTTTCACCATAGGTGATTTTGCATCCATCCACTAAAACCCGCCACGATTCGCTCAGGAGCATGTTCCAAGTGTTCCATTCGTGTTCCGAGTACAACTTGACGCTCTCTATCGAATGGCGTGTTCAGATTTTCCATAACTCAAACTAAGTCTGAGAAAATTTAAAAATACTAGTGTATCACCACAAAATTCCTGGATTTTATGCAGTAAAACCCGCCAAGATTCGCCCAGGAATATGTTCCAAACATTCCACTGGTGTTCCGAATACAACTCGATGAGCTCTATCGAATGGTATATTCCGATTCCCGATAGCTCAAACCAAATCCTAGAAAATCAGAAAATACTAGATTTTCACATAGGTCATTTTCCATCCATCTACTAAAACCCGCCAAGATTCGCCCAGGAACATGTTCCAAACGTTCCACTGGTGTTCCGAGTACAACTCGATGAGCTCTATCGAATGGTATATTCCGATTCCCGATAGCTCAAAGCAAATCCAAGAAAATCAGAAAATACTAGATTTTCACCATAGGTCATTTTGCATTCATCTTCTAAAACCCGCCAAGATTCGCCCAGGAGCATGTTCCAAGTGTTGCACTCGTGTTCCGAGTACAACTTGACGCGGTCTATCGAATGGCGTTTTCATATTTTCCATAACTCAAACTGAGTCTGAGAAAATTTGATAATACTAGTGTATCACCACAAAAATCCTGGATTTTATGCAGTAAAACTCGCCAAGATTCGGTCAGGAGCATGTTCCAAGTGTTCCATTCATGTTCCGAGTACAACTTGACGCGGTCTATCGAATGGCGTGTTCAGATTTTTCATAACTCAAACTGAGTCTGAGAAAATTTGATAACACTAGAGTATCAGCACAAAAACTCTCGATTTTAGGCAGTAAATCCTGCCAAGATTCGCCGAGGAGCATGTTCCAAATGTTCCATTTATGTGCTCAGGATGGCTCACACATCTGTATACGATCGTGTATTGAGCTGTTTAATGTCGCTAACCGTGTACGCAGAAATCGCAAACATGGACCCCATTATACATGACTTTGTCGCTGATACAGTAAAATCAGCTAATATCTGTGAAGGAAGATGTTTGCAGATGTCCCATTCGTGTTGAAAGGAGTGTTTAAGAGGCTCCATGCTTTCGTAGATTGCAATGGTCGAAACCACAAACTATACTGTAGATAACGCGTGAAAAACTATTAATAGGTGTCTCCTATAATATGTAGCGATGATACTTATATTGTAAAATTAGCCGAAATTCATTTAGAAGTACGTTTCAAATGTTCCATTTGTGTCCTAGATACAACTTGATTTGCCCTGTCAAATGTTGTATGCATGTTTTCAATACACTGAAATGCCTTACCGAAGTCTTTTATACTGTGGACACCAACCAAATAGGTCAATGAATTGTTTTGTTGCAGGGGAAAATTCGTTGTGAAATCTATTCTAATTTTGTTTTTTTCTATCATATGCAGTAAATCTTCTATTTCAACTACCCGGGTAGACAAACATGTCACTTTTTGTACTAATTTAGTATCAAAAAAAGTATGTCTAATTTTCTATATAACTTGTCCCCTTTGTACAGATTTTTTGCATCGAAATTTTTGATGGCAAAAAACGGCTACTTTTTTTTCTCAAAAATAGTGAAAAACTTTTGAGCGTTTAAACGCATTAAAAAACATAAAATTAAGCGTCAAATTGTATGCAATTTTTTTGAACTATTTTCGAAAATTTTATTTTATGCGTTTATTAGTTGTATTTTGTGAATAACAGTTATCTGTGTTTCTCTTCTTGCTAGAGCGGTATGGAGTTTTTTACAACATCCCAACCTCAATTCAGTACATAGTTATATTTTACTTTTGAAAGAGTACTATCCAGCTCTACTTTTAGTCTCCACCATAAATTTCTAAAGAAGACAATCCTACAAAGAGTCCTATACATTTTTATCAAATGCATTCTTAGTGATACAGTAATTTAAATTTTTTGTGTTATCTTTTCCAACTAGCTTAAAAACACATCTTCAATTATCTTAAATATTACTGACATGAAACGACATAGAACGTAGCAATGAAAGATTTAAACTGCTGCATCACTGAAAATGCATTTAAAAAAGTGTATAGACCCTTTTTTTAGGTAACTATCTTCCTCAGAAATTCATGGTCGAGTCTAAAAAAAGGAGCTTGGTCGTACCCTTACAAAAGTAAAGTACAACAAAGTACTGAATTAAGGCTTGCGTGTTGTATAAAAAACTCGATACCACTAAAGAAAGAAGAAGAACAGAAAGTACGAGTATACTAATGATCTAATGGTTTGCAGTTGAATCGTTCTTAGATTGCATCTATGAAATGACCTAACGACGAAGAACCCTATCATATTATGCTCAATTTGAATACTCACAATTTTCTCAAACGTCTGAACTCCTTGTAAACAAAATTTGTCTCTTTCAAATATAAAAAATTCCTTTGTAAAGCGAATCTTTATATGTAAAAAACTAAAACATTCTATCTGATCTATAGTCCGAGTAACTCTTAGATAAAAACATAACGAATTAACAACTCATTCGCAGCTATTAGAATAGGTGAGACTGACTGGAAATACCACAGTATTTTTTTTCTTCCCGTATGACGTAAGTAATTAAAAGTAATTTTTTATCCAAGTATGTTCCCTCTTCATTTTGATCTTGAAAGTGGCCTTAATATAAAAAAAATATTTCTTTCTTTTTAAATAAATGCGTTACTATTCATTATGTCGTCCAGATAGATCTAAGCAATATTTTTATATTCGCAATATTTTTCTATTTATACTTAGTGTTCATTTTGATCTTAAGGTAGATCTAAATGAAAAAAGAAAACAATTTTTTCTCTAAACAATTACTTACCATTTATGTTGCTATAGATAGTGATCAAAATAAAAAAGATACATAAGTTTTCTCAAGAAATGCTTACTGTTCGTTGTATTATTGAGATTAATTTGAATAATCAAAAATAAACAATTGTTATATATAAATAGTAAATATCGATTTTCATATTGAGATTGGTCTAAATGATAAAAAATAAATTTTCTAAGAAATCAATTACTGCTTATGTTGATAGAGAAAATAATCTAAATCAAAGAAAATACGCAAGTGTCCTTAAAAATATTCACCACACATTGTGTTATTGAAATCTGTCTACCTAAAACAAATAAATAAACGAATAGATTTTATCTACAATCACTAAATTTGGTTTCCACGTTGAGGTCAATCTCAACAGAAAAACTTACATTTGAATAGATTTCTGATCGCGATAAATTATCGAAAATATTTACAATACTAGGGCCCTCTATAATATATCGTTTCGTATCTAAAGAATGACTAGTGCTCGGATAGTGTGCTAAGCTCTATTGAAGTGAAAAATGGATGAGCCCAGCTTTTAGCGTAGACTTCATCTAAACGTTGTGTATTTATCACTCTCAAATTTATCCTAAACTCAATTACCAGATCACGTATTAGAGCTATAAATTCATATAGTTCAAGGTGACTATGAGACTTTGACTTTGGAACAGGGTATATGTAGAACTGTAGAGGAAAAATTTCTCCATTATCTGATGTATATATATCTATATTATCAACCTCAATTGCGTTATGTTCATATGCCAGTTGGCAGCACTACACTCGCTATGTCTATAAAAGGATG